ACATGACTTGATCACCAGAAAAATTTCCTATTGATGTTGAAAACACCTTCCTATGCAGCAAGAACATGTTGAAATGATAACACACAAGCACTCATTTATTGTCAATAATGCTTGAAAATAAGGGTGGCTGTATAATTTAAGAAAGCACCAGAAATATAATGTAATAATTGAGTCCACTTAAATTTTTTTGAAAGAAGAAATACAAGTGACCACAACTTCCACTGACATCACAGGGAAAAAATAACAGTGAATTGAGTCGTACCATTCCGATCCAGCCTCTCCACTAATGTCCGATTACAACGTCATTAGCACGAATAACCCTGCCTGGTGCAGCTGGCAGGAGCTGAAATTCATACCACCAATGATGCATCCTTCAGGCATGAGGGACTGCGGATTGAATAAGCAAACAAGTACTTCTCAGAATGACCTCGGGTCAGCCGCCTCCGGAATAAGCAACAGAAGGGCACGAACCTGTAGTAGATATAATTTTTACAAGTTTATAACAACAAGATGACTTTGAAAATTTTATCTTATATCACCTATGAATTTTCATAAATAAATACCTTCTATATGCCATAAGATTTAATACACAGAAGCTGCTAGAGCGTGCAAATATCCTACTTGTCCTAGCTTATATTGCTAGGATGATAAACACTGAATCCTAGGCTCAAATGAACACAACAAATGCAATTCTCAAAACTCCTCAATTATGCCAGATGTGAAATAGTAATATTACTTATTAAAAAAGCACCAATAGTTTTGAAACTTGAAGGGTGTAACCCTGTAAAACAAAGCTACGATTTGCTTGTTTGACTAAAATTTATGGTTCTGATTAGGAAAATTAATTTATGAAACTTAAAATATTCTACACCATTGTAAAAATAAAATGATCTTATAACGAGTGTTTTCAAAAGTTCAACAGAATGCACATCTTCTCATTTGGTTGTATATGCACAGACTCATAGTGAACTGTATGTACATAATTGCAGTGCATGCTGCAGAAAGCAGCACAACATAGCAGTCTAGAAGCAATAAGAGTGCATTTCTTAAAAAAATTTGCAAACTAGACAAAACTTTTCCATATGATAGATACATTACAGAAGCAGCACCTGACTAGACATTACACAGGATAAAAACATTCTGCTAACTTTAAGAAAGAAAGGTTTCAATTTAGTAAGGTTCTTGGATTTCACTTGGAATTATCTATGATAACCATGTCATGGTACACATATTAATATACAGTACAAAAATCAGAAGGCAAAAAGAGCTACATATGAAAGGCATGCAGTACATACCTTCACACCATTGGTTATAGCAGTGGAACAGAGGGGAGGTTCCTCGGAAAAGGTTAATACTTCGGATACCTTCTTCTTCACGAATTTTGATAATCCCATTTTCTAAGCGCCGGGCATGCTCTTCTACCATAGTACATTGCGTCCTGCTGCTGATCACTGCTCACTTCTGCAAATTTATCAGATCATTTGGAACGCATGGAGCATTTCTCCATCTGGGAGAAGATTCCTAGTACCAACATAGAGTTGGCCATTGGTACAGTTGAGGAAGAACAACTTATACTAGACGTCAAAGAGCAGCCACAAGGATATCTTAGATCTGCTGTCAAAAGATATGTCACCTGTAATCTCCTGTGTCTCCAGGATTATTTGACTTAAAGGCAAAAGGTACACATTAACCATATGTCATAAAAACATGTAGCCACCAATAAGACCCAACTAACTCACTATCAAAATCTTAGCTGAGCATTCTTGACCATCACAAAAGCGATACAGAATCCTTGTGGAGGCAATTTCACTTTCAAAATTTTCTCTAACTCTTGGATATCTGCTTCTGATGCACCCCTTCGAAGTGTAGCCTTTGCCTCTGGAAGGTTATGGTCAACCAGTTTAAAGTCTATCCCAACATCTTTTAACCCGTTTAACAAGAGGCCAGGTACATATTAAAAGACTCCCGCCATGTCTGGTAAGTTGCCTGTGGAGAGAGGTTGAGAGAGCAGTCAGTAAACTGTTACTTCACAGACTTCGGGAAAAGTACTAATAAATCCTATAAACTAACACTTGCCCTAAAAGCTTAACCTGATAGATAAGGCCCTTAAGATCTAACAAATCCCGTCAGTTTCAAACCACGCCAACACAACACAAAATTTTTCAGAATGTACAATGTCCAATTAGCATGCGACAGTTACGTATTGTTAACAAAATGACACAGTACCATTAATGTAAGCTGATAACACATTGATATCACTAATAGCTAGCAATAAGATACCAATGCAATGTCACATGTCACTAAAAACCACTACCCAGTAACATACCAGGATATTTTTACTCAATATAACAAAGTACACATTGTTGAGCGACCAATACACATTGAATACTACTAATATCACATTATAGGTACATTACAATGTCACAAACCAGTTAAGTCATATTCCATTACCGTTACCAGGACTTTTACTCCCATCAACCAAAGTACCCATTGTTGAGTACCATACACATTGAATATTACAATATCACTAGATAAAACGAGATTGTCATGCGTCAGCAAAAGCCATGATTCCAGTAACGTTGCTGGGTTTTCAAATCCGGTAACACACAACTCTCCTAAGAGCACACGCCACATCAACAAACACACGGCAAAACAGAGAGACCCACATCAACATTTCCACCAAAAATCTCTTATTTTTCAATTTCTTTCATTCTCCACCCAAACTCATAAAAATCAAACAAATAAACATGAAACAACCAATAAAAAACATCCCCCCTAGATATCATCACTACAAAACAAAACAAAATAAAAAATAAAAAATAAAAAATAAAACCTTAAAGGAAGGAAGAGAGTTGCCATGAAGATCAAGAGGGCATGAAGACCAAGTTCATCCAGCAGATTTTGGACCAGAGAGACTCTTCAGAGGCGAATCCTAAACCTTCTGTTAACACCCCACAATAGCGGTGTGTTTTGGGTCTAATTTTGATAAATTTTGTTCAAAGCTAGATCTCCAACACTCCCAAACCCATTTCTCTATCTCTCTGATTAGGGTTTTGCCTAACTTCTTTCCTGTTTCTAGGTTCTCTATCTATCTGCTCTCGGCTCTCTTCAGGTGGAAATGTTGTTTTTATTGTCGGCAATTCTTCAAGATTTGATTTTTTTTCTTTTATTGATAAGTCCTTCTAATTTAGGAAAATTACTTTGCATCCTCTATCCATCGTGAAAAGACAACCTTACCCCTTAGTTTTACAAATTAATAGGTTTGTTCTTTTATAATTTCATTTCGTGTATCCAGATTTCCACTTTCGAAAATATGGAAAACGATTAAAAAAATGAACGCGAAAAATGGAAATGCTTTGCCATTGTTGTTTGAAAACATAAAATACATATATAAATATATAAAAAGAGTTTAATTATATAAAGAGTCATTTAGAAATACTCTTAGGTCATTGGATGACCGCTTATCATTCTGCATTAAGTAAAATATCAACTCTTTTTGATACGTTTGGTTCAGAGAATGTTATATTAATGGAAATAGATTATCTTGAAAATTACGAGAATGTTTAAGAAAATGTGTTTGATTAATTGGAATAATTAGTGAATATTTTTATTTATATGTTTGATAATTCTCGTCTTATACTCTTAAAAACTATTACAAATTCCATCATATGTGGCTAAACAATCAATATCTGATTGTCGCATCTAACTAATTAGTAGATTAGTAGCTATCGATCTAACACAGTTCACACACTAATTATGTTGTTAGAACTTGGAATAGTTGGTTCATCACTAACTAACGATTCTGGCCAAAATGTTTTTAATAATTCTTATTTGTAATAAACAATTAATATTTTATATATTTATAATATAAAAATAGTTTATAATTATAATTTCGATTATTATTAATTTAAATGAATTAAATTTTTAATTTAATATCTAATAACATAGTCCAATATGTTGTCAAAGGGTATAATAGTAAATATGTATGTTTCATTATTAAGCATTATAGTGATATTACTTGAAATTAAAGTTCTATATTATGACAATGATGTGTCCCAATTAGTTGGCAACCCATCTATCTCATCATTATTAACAAACAATAAATTTCCAATCCTGAAAATAAATTTTATATGATCAATTGTTTGCAAGATCTCTATTTCTTCCTGAACTCATCCAATCAAGTCAAGTAGCTTCCCAATAAGGTATTGGAATGATATAATATTAGGGAAGAGTATTGAAAATATTCATCACATCCTAAGATAAAAACCTAAGATCCAAGATTATTCAAATGGGTACTGATTGTGAAAGATTTATTAAAAAAATAAAAATAAAATAATAATAATAATAATAATACAAGTTTGTCTTGGAAAAATGTTGATTTACAAGCTTTGCTTCTCAAAGATTTGTCTCTTTTAGGCATATATATTTTTGTGAGTTGCATTCTCAAAGTGTCTTGAAAGTGCTTCTTCTCCCATGTATCAAACATGCTCTAGAAGATAGAATTTCAAGTTGAATTGGTTACTTGTGGAAGATTTTACTAATAAGATGAAGATTTTAGTTGAATTTTGTAGTTGTTATTTAGATCAAACATGAAGAGGGTCTTCAAAGTTTTCATTACCCATTAGAGAGAAGCTTCAGAAAATAAAGCATTCATGATTATACATGTACCACTGAGAGAGAGAGGGAGAGAGAGAGATGGTCAAAACGAAGAATTCATTAAACCAAAATACACAAAAAAAACATTACAATAACAAGAAGAAGAAGAAGAAGAAGAAGAAGAAAAGGAGCAAAAATGGAGAGGGAGACCAATATGTACATTCTCTCAAAGAAGTTAGTCCTAAAATTTGAAGGCCCTCTTTGACAAGTAAAGTTGTTTAACAATTTGAGAACTCAGCAAGTCAAGTCAACTCCATTGCAACCCACAACTTTTCTTCTCATTCCAGAAAGGCCCATTTGGAAAAACCAATTAAAAAACAACTCCAACCAACGACCTACACAATTGAAATGAGATACACAAAAGCCCTGTTAGGTGAAACCCAATACATCGAAATTGAAGGTGATTCTCATTCTTAGATCTGGTTTGAAAAAACATAAACTAATAACACTTACAAAAGGGACGACTAATTAAATTTGATTAATATTTTTTATTATCATTATCCAACATTAATTGCTTAAGCAACTGACCATTGAAATTCTAACTTGTTCAATATCAAACGCAGAAAACCCAAAAAAAGTTCTCTCCCACTTGGTATTTTTATCTTTTGGGTTGTTAAAAGCATTTGCAGATTCATTGAAATTGTTGTCCGATACGATTTGCAATTTTCAACTATATTGACCACCCAGATAATTGTTATACTATATATAGCAAAATTTTTCTGCCAAAAAAAATATATCGTGCCCTCAAGTTGCTCTCAAATATCGATTGAAAAGGGTTAGATCTGGGCCCTGAGGTACCGTTTCTGATATAAAATACACTGTATTTTTAACTTAGAACTTTGAACTATAACTTTGTCACGGATATAGAACATGAAACTCGCAAAACTTGCTTCAATCTTACAAGTTAACCAAATCTCCATTGCATACCTAATGAAATTTACGAAGATATTTCCACCTTCATCTCTTTGCACAGATTATGAACAAAACAAAATTGAAGGTAGAATTATGGTAACTGAGATTTTTTGTTAGAAAATAGAGTGCATTGTTCAAAACTCTTCCCAGGCAACTTGTCTTAAAATCAGAAGTAATAATAGATGCATATTTTCTTTTAAAAGGCAATGTTTCTGCGCTTCTATCATTGATTTTCAATCTGCTAAACTTGTATTTTATATTCATTACAAGTATATCTTCTTCTACTATACAATCCCGATACTGATACGATCCCAGCATTGATATACTTCAAATATTACGAATTTTACGTTCCATGTTAGGATTGATGTTTAACATTTATGAATCTCATGTTTTATGTTCACGACTCTTCACTTTCTAAAATTGAATACCAGTTACTAGTAGACGGTGTATTATAGGTAAAACTTTCGGCGGTGGGCAGGTTTCGTGTTTTGAATGTTAGAAAACATCATTCTTATTAAGTCCACTATCTACTTGACCTCTTCAATAAAAACCTTCAAGGGGTTGAGCATTTGAAAACACATTGCTTCCCAGTTAGTAATTCCCTATTTCTAAGTTTTCTCTAGTAATTTCAATCCGAGTTCTCCCTGCGGAAATATTGAAAACAAAAACAAATTGCTATTAAGTTTCGACGTTATTTCCTCTAATCAAATTCAATCTATATGGTTTAGGTTGGTTCCTTGACCTTTCTTACTGGCTAATACAAGCTTGGCCTATTATAGCGCGGCAAAATATGATGGATGCACTGTCAACTCGGTAAATCCCTAAACATGAGAATAAGTTCATTAACTCAAGGGGTCACTTTTTGCAAAAAACCACGAGATTAGAGTGTTTCGAGCCTATTTCACTAGGGGAAAAAAACTGAACCCTTCTTATTTCAACTTATTGAACTTTAAAGAAATTAGTACCAGAGCAAATTTGACAGGCTTAAATTTTTTTATGATAATCTTTTTGGGTGTCTTTTACAAGTTGAAGACTCATTGAGGGCAATTGTCTTGACATACTTTAAGAGACACAAGTACATTATGCATCTCAAAATAGTTTTTCTGAATAAAGTTAAAACTAACTCATACAAAGTAAAATTACAACTCAAAATAGTTACAATATGATAATCGATGAAGAAAGATTCACTCTAAAGGTCAGTAAAAAGTAATCATATCTCTTTGATAAAAAGCTCCAAAAAATTAGAAAATCAAGCTGTAATATGAGAGCAAGCCAAATACTATAGAATCATGTATAAAATTAATCATCTAAAGCAATTATTGAGAAGCCTATTATTAACATGAGAACATGCAATGGTAGACAGAATGCATAACGATATCAACGCAGACCAAACAAGAGTAAATCTAACACATGTTAATAATAAACACAGCAATAAACATAAAATCCCATCAGACAAGAAGAATCACCAGCAATCACGTTATAGAAACAGATTTCAGAAAAGAGATTCATAATTTTACAGATCAATAAGTCTACTACATCCACGTCAAAGTAATTGAACTTCAATAACCAACACAATTTACTGCATAAAATGGATGGACTCCAAACAGACAAAAAATTGGAACACCAAATGAAACATGAAGAAAGAACAAGGTAAGTTCTGGGGCCAACAACAAACAAAGACCAATTGAAAGTGAGGTTAAGCAAAAGACACTTGTAATCTCAATCTTACGAAGGAGAAACTGAAACTAACATGGACAGGTAAAAGACTTTGGGCCAAGGGTGCATAAAAAGGTACTCCTAGGCGAATAATGAAATCCTTCTGTCCCTGAATCCCATCAACTATAACCTTCAATATGAGTCCATTCTATATGAATTCACAATAATAAAAATTCATTCGTAACATCACCACACCCTAACTTTCAACGTTGTTAAGAGATATATTTCCATATAGAAACTGAATCATTGTGAAATGTTGCCGAAATTACTACCAAGGTAATGTTCCCCAAAATAAAGCACCAAAAACCATTCATCATTGCTTTCTTATCTCCAATTAAAGAATTGGATAAAAACTTCAGAAGACTCCATCCTGCCTCAAATCCTAAAATTAAATGAAACTTTCCTTGTAGTTGAAAAAACAAATTAAGATCTAGATGACTTCATCTACAACTATACTGCAACATGAAAATCTAATCACTGAAAAAGTTTTAAAAGCAGCAAAAATTGATCAAAGATGAGAGATCAAGCAACCTGGATTTTCCAAAAGAAAGATGTCTCCTTAAAAACAAAAAGAAAGCAGACACATAAGAGCATGATTTGTCACCCATACTGCTCAGCAACATTCCAGAATCAGACAATATGCAAATCTCCAAGATTAACAAAATGTAGTAACTTCACAGTCAATTCAAAGATCACACAGGTTAATCCAACTTCAACACTCCACAATCTTCAACATCAATTTATATAGCGAAAGAAACAAAGCCTAAAAAACTCTTCTCAGGAAGAAAGCTTCAAATGCTAGAACAAAACGTTTTACTTAAAACATTCCCTTGATCCAGGAAAAAACTACCTATCACCAACAATGAAGAATCAGTAATCAGTATACACCTTAATTTAGGGATACAGAGTCTCCTATTCACAAAATTCTAACAAATTCTAAAGCAGCTCATTAGCACAAATCCCTGATATTATCCTCACTCTGGAGATGTCAATAACTTGAACACAAAACTATGGATCAGTCCTCTATTTCAGATGCCTAAGATCTCAAATTTTTATTTTCTAATATGCCATGTCTAGCTCCAGAAAATAATGTGTATATATCCCTCTGCTAATACTGAAATTCCAACACAACATCTAATTGAAAGTCTCTGAATAAGGAAAATCCCTTGAATTCCAGAACAATTTACTTTATCGAAAGGTTTTCACAGACCATAAAAAGCCGAGATATCACATTATATGTGCTTTAGTTACCCTAAAGAAGACAGTGGACTAAAATGGAACCAAACTATAAACAAACAACTCCAAAAGCATTCTAACTAAAATGGACAAGTATATCACCAAGCAGAATTTTCTTTTTTTCAATAGGCATATCCATTTAAGAGAACTAGTCATGGTAGAAGAACATTACCGAGATCAGGGATATCTCATAGCTGATTTCCAGTCCCTCGGCCGGCAGGAGTATTTGCTTGCTGCTGTTGTTGCTGGTTCTGTATCTGAAGGAGGAGATTAGCTGCAAATTGCAATGTTGACTGGTATCGCTGGTTCTTATCAACCTCATCCTCAGATGCACCCTGACCAGCTCCAGAGAGCACAGACTGAAGCTGCTGCATCTGATTGGGATACTCGGAATTCACTTTATCAGCTGGCACTGACATAATATTTTGTGTTTGAGAAACATTGACCAGATTTGATGCTCCAGTATGATTGTTAGGCTGCTGAAAAACTGGTGAACCATATAGTGTGGAAGCATCAGTTCCATGCACCATTCCATAGCCTTTTTGAGTACTTGGAGGAACTGCAAACTGATTCTGCTGACTGACTGTCGGAGAAACAGATATATGTGCACTTTGAGGAGCAACTGCGTAATTAGTCAATGGCCTAGAAGACACTGCACCTGGCTGTGGCATGCTGACAGTCAACTCTTGATATTGAGAGCTGCCATGGGGCATTTGAGCAGAATGGTTTGAAAGAGGTGCATAATTATGAATCTGAGATGGTTGAGCTTGATGATTAAACTGATTGCCCAGTTGTTCAACAGAACGACCTGCAAGCTCAGGTAATAATGGTCTCATTGTTGAGGAGCCTGTTGTTGGCAGAGCACTTTCTGCAGACTGTGTAGTTCCAGGCACTAATGAAGCTAGAGTAGCAATAAGCTCTGGGGTTAAACTCACTCCAGCTTGGGAAATGGCAGCAGTATTATGTGATCCGTAATCCAGGGAACTTGGCTGCACCAATTGGGACTCACTTGCATGCAGGAATTGAGGTTTTGATGGAACCTTTGGGTCATCATGTGAAAACCTGCCATAGTCCATTGGCAAAACCTGTTCCTCCTTCAGGCGAGTCAAAGTATAGTCAGCATGCAGAGGAATATTCTGTCGTTCAACAGTCTGTGATGGATGCATGGATTGCTGAGGCAGTTTCAGAACAACACCATATAAACGTTCTGGCCCCACAACATTCAATACCTTCGTCAAGAAATCTGAGGGAGGGACCAAGAATAAGGTTGTCCCATCATCAAACTTGGCAACACCTGCACGGTTTTTTGAACCCAGGTACCGAAGGAATTCTGTATAGGAAGCAAAATCGTCTTCACTGTCAGGCAAGAAGAAAACAATCTCAAATCCAATAGCTTCAGCATAATGCTTGGCAAGCATATCCAATCCCGTCCTTGCTGAGCAATTAACAACTTCAGGACTGCAAAATAGGAAACCCCAACATAAAATGAGAAACAACAAAATATGCAAAATCATAGAAACAAAATGCAAAGAAACTATAGTTAAACTAAAAAATTCTAGACAAGAAAAGAAGTTAGCAAAAGCGTAAAAATAAGTAAGAACTTTAAAATGCGAAAATGCAAAGTCTTAAATAATAATAAAAAAAAATTAGAGAAAATGAAAAGCACATAGATTTTCATTATATTCTCTCAAAAGAGCACCTCATTCAGTAGCAAGCATAATTTTCGGAGATTCCTCTTACAGGAAATACTAAAAAAACCATCATATTAACTGTGGAAAGAACTTAAAGAAATGGACCATATATCCATAAAAGAAAAGAAAACAACAAAAAGCCCTGCACAGGGGTATCTGAGTCCATACCAACACAAGTTAAAACTTTTTAATCAAAACAGCAATGTACCCCTGCTCCAAAAGCAATACTATTTACTACATATACGAAGGCCTTATTACATCTGAAAAGATATATGGGCTAAACCAAAATAACAATGAGCAAAAAATTGAAAGTCAGCTCATGTTCTAAGGTAAAAACATAACAGTATACAAAACCCAGGAACTGAAGTAACAACGAAAATACTCACAGCTCAGATCTATCCCTTTCCTATAGGGACACATCGAGCATGACAAACTGGGGTCCCACCCTTAGCAATAATTCCACGCCATATGCAATCATTATCAGCTCCAGCTGCCACCTTTGTACCCCCTGGACTAAGATGACTCCTCCCTTGACATTCATAAATGCAACAGAAGCACCTCCACCAGTGATTGGACCAAGCCATACGGCTGCTCAAATCCTAGCATGATCATCAATCCTTCTTGAAGGAAAAGCGCAGCATCATCAATGGACAAGGAACTGTCTATCCTTGAACGTTTAGGATCTCTTTGAAATTGGCTTGCATCAGATACGTCCCATGAACCAGATGCTGCCTCATGGGTTGCCTAATGCCCGCACAGGAGAACTACGCATCCCAGGTGAAGGTGACGGCCTTCTCCAGTTGGCTCCAGACTTGTGGGATTAGTTTCTTGCATACCTGAAATAGGTTCAAAATTACCATGGCCACCAAAAGTCCTCATTGTCATATTGTTCCATGAACACCACCAGATTGCGACCCAGAAAAATTATTCGGCATCATTTGATGATTATGACCAAGCATATCATTTGAGAAGGTCTAATGGTGATCACCTAAAAGCATCTCCGGCCTTGGCCCTTTTACTCCAGGATATGAACCAGGGTAATCTTTTCCTGGTGCCAGGTCACTACTCGAAAACATAATAGTGATTCTAGGATCATTAAACAACCGACCTTGTAAACCCTCCTTAGCACGCCGAGCCTCATCCACACTTCTAAATTCCACAAAAGAGTAAGCCTTGAAGGAAAACTCTTAATTCTCTCAATCTACCAAATAGGATCATTGCATTGTGAAGCATCTGCTCATCAACCTGAACAGAAGGGGGGTAGCCTACCATAAAATCTTACTAGGTTGACCATCTCCCTTTCGTGCTGCTGAAGATTGTGGATGCTGCCGAAGGACACTAATTAGAATAAAAATAATTACAAAAACAAGTAACTTTCAATAGTTCAGCAAGTCACAAGTGCATAATAAAGTTATATGCACATCAAGCAATGCAAACCAGAATAAATTCCAAAATGATGGAACCTTTTGCATTAAATACATAATATACTAAAATTGGGACTTACCGGTCTTTTATAAGCTGAATTAATATCAGAAAGTCAGTGCCCCTACCAAGAAACTGCCCATCTCTGGGTCATGGAATTGGGCCACTGATCCTGTATAAGAGAGCAAAAGAAAACCCCATTTCAAAAACAAGAAACAAGCAAAATGAATGATATCTTGTGCCAATACAATTAAGAACCGAGGAGAGAGAGAGAGGGAAAAAAGGAATTACTCCAAGAAGCCCAACTTTGAGCAACTTAATTTAGCATGTCCTCGGTTATTCATAAGTTTTTACAACTAACTTTTTAGCAGATCAAAAGCTTAGAGGGGAAAACTTTCAAGCCAAAGTGAAACTTGTAAAACAAATAATTCTTCTGAAACACACATCAAATCCTAAACAAATGTACTTACTCTTCTTGAGGGTTGTGATCGAAGGAAGTCCACACGTATCTGTCACCACCTATTTGCTTACATTCATGTTTTTCATGGCTTGGGAAGCATCTTCCAATCTGAAATACTCGACAAATGCAGTATTGCGGTCTCTAAGAAATTTAAAATCCTCATTTTACCAAACTTGAGAAATTCCTCTTCCATTTCTTTTGATACAGTTGGACTAATTCCACCCACCCATAGTTTTTACAAGGTTTGGCCTGGAAACAAGAATTTATAAGAACTCCTGAAACTTATTACAAGCTTAATATTGAATAACTATGACCACAAACAAAAACCCAAATTAAAAAAAAAAAAAAAAAAAAAAAAAAAAAAAAAAAATCTCAAGTGAAAATATAAATCTACTTAAACCTGATAGAAAAATCATGCAAATTCCATGAAAAACTGAAAGAAGTCTAGTACATAGACAATGTAAAAAACTATCAAACATAAAACTGAATAATAAGCAAGCCCATATCAACATGAGTTTGGTGATGCACGTGTCATTTGATCATAAAGTCAATCCAGAAGCTTAAAGAGCCCTGCAAGATTAGCACGCTACCAACTTCAATCTATTTCTGAGGGGACAAAGGGCAGCCATGTCTTTTAGCTCAATGAAATTGATTAATATAGTTTTTTTCCCAAAATGCATGATGACAACCCAAAATTCATAGTTCTTGATCTCATTGATGTTAACCAGAAGATACAAAAAATTAACCTAATTAACCATGTCTTCAATCATCAAAAAGCTGCCATCACTTGTTGGAAATCACTTTGGCAAGTGTGAATTTCAATTTAGAGTTTAAATGGGCGGGAATCTGCCTATTGCATTTTGTAACTCAGTAGTCTTTATAGCAAAACAAAATCAATCCTATTGATGCTTAGTTAGGACAGATTTGCAATAAAACTGAAATGTCAAATGTTTAATTGAATTCCATTCTTTGGAACAAACAATATGTTCAATTAGCCACTATAATTTTCAACCGTTTGTGTTGAAAACTGATTAAAAGAAACTGCTATGGAGTATGGAGAACATTAGCAGATGAGATGCAAAGAACACTTGAGCCGTAAACATTTGTTCAGAACCAACTTAACCAAATTTGATTCCATAGCAAAAAAATTATGGTCGGAGTTGAGATAAGAACTGGATTTGTTACTTGAATCATAGATGAAAAACTGAGATTCTTGAGTTTAAAACAATTCCAAACAATAGGATCCCTTAAAATTCAACAAGAACTCAATTCAATTACATATTTTAATGTCTTCCAAAGGCACTCCTAAATAATAAAAGAACATACGGCAAATGCCGCGACTTCACATAACTCTTATTGACTCATTACACCAGCAGCAGGCATAATGAAGACAGATAAACACATTTTAAAGCCTCTATTAGATCTACGGCAAACAATTGACAATAAGCTTAGATCAATATGTAGCCACTAATGAGTTCATAGATTAAAGAACTAGCAATATAAAATGAAAAAGGATTTTGACATGAAGACAAGCATGCACTAAATACCCATTCAGAACAGGTATGAAAAATCCAGGGTTCAGCAGAAAGTTATTCAATGGTGATGGCATGTGAGTCAGGCACTCCACAGATTTCCTCCATAGCTTGAGTTTGTGGTGGTTAAGGTGTGAACGAACTAACAGATGATTATATGCACCACTGGTACTGCATATTATGCAGTTACTTAAGTTTGCAATCCCATTAACTAGGAATGATGGGCGTCAAAAAACTAATATTAGATCTCAACAACCCAAAAGATATTGTACTTGGAAATTGAAAACGAACGTGCATTTGAGGATGGCTTGATTATTACATTAACAAAGGTGGGATTTTTCTGTTTATTTGCTTCTCAAAATTTTAGCCAAAATCCATTAAAATTTAGTGAAGAAAATAGACAATCAATATACAGCTTAGTTAAGCCTTGTTTGTGATTCTTGTTGGGAAATCTGAGGGAACTTTAAACAAGTAATTCTCAACCAAAGTGTTTATAAGATTTTTATGCTATGGTATGTTAAGATATACAACCTTTTTCTTAAAGATATTTCTTGGAAAAGCATAATACTGATGTTGGTTTTACTTCAAAATATTATCACCAATAATATAATGTAAATTACATTATTGCAGGCTCATATTATCAAAATATTTATTAAAAGTATAAAGGCAGATTCATATGCCCATCTACCAAAAAAAAAAAAAAAAAAATTGTCCCTCTGAAAGATTTGGCAGTGTAGACACTAAAACTTGCAAAGGCTTACACACTGTTTTTCAAACTCATAGCACTTTCAAGATGTATCTTTTGTAGAGGACACACCGGAAGTGACCTTTAATATCTTTCATCATCAAACTCAGTTCATAAATCCCATTGATTTCTCATAAACTGTACAAAATACATGAAGAAATCATCATGCAAATTGTATTGGGAAAAAGTATGGAGATCATTTTGGTTTTAAAGAAAGGTATTAAAGTAATCGCTAGAAAAGGCATCAACATGATAACAAACACTAAACCCATACTTCATAAGACACATTCTTCAGAAGGATATTGATTACTGCCTTGAGGCTTGATTAGAAAAGCAATCTTATAATTGATTATTAACATTAAAATTATACATATAACCCTTGTTACCCTAAGCATATTGTTGTTTACTGATGTATAATTCTTCAAGGACATTTGGTATTAAAGTACATTTTATTGTTGATCATCTCTCAGAACGCGTTGTTGAATCCCTGCAAATTTCTGAAGCTTCCTCTGTCTTTACTTGTAAATGGATTGAATCGTTTTACATGTATTGAATCATTATACTTTCTTTCAGCTTAATCTATTTAAATTTGATCAAAATCACTTCCCAAACCTTCATATCAATTGCACATTATGTTTCATACCCAATTCTATATCAGCAACTCACATATTACTCAATTCAATCTATCCTCAAGTTCCCCTTAAATGGCTAAATTTAAAAATTAGGTCAAATTTCGACATTAATCAAACCCTAAACATGTTAATTTTATAAGTTTTTTGCATTCTATCATAAAGCAATTCAATTTCTTACTTCGCATAATAACATTTTCATCAAATAAATCAACAATGCCAATCAAATTATTACACAAATAATACAAATCCAAAACTCCAAAAACAAAATCAAAACCACAGAAATTAGAACAAACCGGTCGCGCAAACTCGATCTTGAGCGGATTCCCACGCAAACTGGTCCCTTGCAGCGCGTCTTTCGCGGCCTTCGCATCCTCTACGCGCTTGAAGTACACGAACGCGAAGCTCCTCGACGAGTATGTCGTAACGCTATCAAGCGCACCGTATTTGATGAACAAGTCCATCAGATCGGCATCATTCGTGTCCGCTGACAAGTTTCCAACCCAAAGATTGTTCGACGGAGCCTCCGGCCCGTCCGCCGCGCCGTGGCCGCGGGTGAATCTACTCGACGACAGCGGCGGTGGCGGCACCATGGATTGGATTGTATTGAATTGAAAGAACTTATCGCGAGAAAGCGAGTAAGGGTTAGGGTTAGGGTTTTGGTTCGAGATTCAGAATTTAAAATTTGATTCGATTAGTTATTTAAAAATAAATAAATTAACGATAATTAGGAAGATGTAATAAATATAATGGTGAAAAGAGGGGATTAGAAACCCTAGAAATTGAAGAAATTTAATGAAATGAAATGAATTGAATGAATGATGATAAGAACGAAGAAGAGAGAGTTTGAAGAAGATGAGTGGTGATTATATAAACGGTTACGAAGAGAGGGATAGGGTTTTGTTTTGTTCTGTTTAGGGGTTGTTTCATCAGGTCCTCTTAGTTTTAGTTTTATTTCACAAACATCCTTTATGTATGGTTTGGGAATAGAGTTAATCACAGTAGTCCTTGAGAGGTGGGTTATTTACCCTTTCGTCCTTGATGTTTGGAGTATATTACACTTAAACTTCCAGTACTATGAGATATGAACAATTTAGTATAGTGAGATGAGAATTTTTAACAAAAAGTCTATAATAATTAATACACATATTGTCTTATTTTTATGTTATTATAAAAGAATAAACCTTAAGAACGAAAGTACAAATAACCCCCTTGAGTATTCATTAAATAACAAGAAGGGCATATCCCTTCTTGGTGAGGCCTTAAGTTTTGGATATTAAAATATCAATAACACTATGGACACCGAAATATTTACACCGAATTTTTGTATCAGCCAACGTGGAACGCGTTCTCCCATTTCTTTATAATTTTTTTCTAGTAAACTGCCGTCCATCAAATTTGGACGGTCGTTTACTCACATGGACGCCCGTCCATCAAATATGGACGGGCGTCCATATTCGAGGGACGGTTGTCCATATAATATGGACGCCCGTCCCTATTAAAATAAAATAAAAAAATTTGTAAAAGTTTAGGGACGGCCGTCCATCCATTATGGACGGCCGTCCATTAATTTTGGACGGGCGAACACAAATATGGACAGGCGTCCATATGCGAGGGACGGCCGTCCATATAATATGGACGCCCGTCCCTATTAAAATAAAATAAAAAATTTGTCAAAGTTTAGGGACGGCCGTCCATCCATTATGGACGGCGTCCATTAATTTTGGACGGGCGTCCACAAATAATGGACGCCCGTCCTTTACCAAAATGAAAAAAAAAAAAAATTTCCATGGGGACGCCCGTCCACCAATTGTGGACGGCCGTCCCTTAATTTTGGATGGGCGTCCGTAATTTTTGGACGCCGTCCAAATTAATTCATAAAAAAATATTTTTTAAACACTAGACGGTCGTCCCAACTGTGGACTGCCGTCATTAATTGTGGACGGGTGTCCATACTGAATGGACGCCGTCCATCATTATGGACGGCTGTCAACCTATGGACGGGCCGCCATAATGTTATTAAATTAAAAAAAACATTTTCGCGTTTAGTATAAATTGTTTTTTGTTTACATTAGCTTCTCCAATACGCTTCTCAATAACAAGCGCTAAATCGAAGAAAACCAGCGCCAACATTCGTCGTCCCCTTCTGCTTCATCGTTGCCGTCTGTTCCTCGTCTCAGTGTTGCGTCTGCATTCCTCAGCCATTCTTCTCGCAACAAACATTCTCTCCTCATTTTCCAGCTACCGTGTGAATAACGAAAGCTATCATCTGTTCACTTCATCAAACTTCTTTCATCAAGCCAATTTTTATAGTCAAAAGAGAGATACACCATAGCCAATTTTACAGTCGAAAGAGAGATACAGGAAAGGGAGATTACAGATATTTGTGCAAAGGGAGATTAGAGAGATTTGTGCAGGTTAATAAACGATTTTTATATAATTTATACATTATTTAGTTTTTACGTGAACATTTTTATATAACTTATCCATTTATTTAGTTTTGTATTATATTTGGATTGAATATATGTTACAATAGAAAAACACTGATATAGAAAATTTGTTTCTGATTGTTATGAATCAGATTTCGTGAACGTGAACACTAGTATGGATTTGCATTAAATTACAGAATATGGAAGAGTCCAGTTTGCCTCAGAGTATGGAAGAGTCAGTTTGCCTCATTTCAATGATATTGAGGTAAATTTATTGTAGTATTGTTTTTATTTTGATGTGTTGTATTAGTACATTCTAATTTTAGTATTATAAACTATTAAATCAGGAAAATGAACGTGATGAATTAGAAGATATGGGATGTGACGAAGAAGTAGATCCTCATATTGGAATGGTGTTTGATTCAGTTGATAGTTTGGTGAGTATTACAAATGGTATGGTAACAAATAGGATTTGAAGCAATGATACGTAGTCAAGAAAGGCGAAGATGGAGAGTGAGATATATGACAGTGACATGTTCTGTTCTGGAAAGGAGAGATGTAAGTTCAGAAATACCTTGAAAAAACAACCTGTTGCCAAAACAGATTGTAAGAGTCAGATTAGTGAGCTTTGAATGGTGAATGCAAATGGGAAATAAATCAGTTGTACTTGACATAACCATGATCTTACAAGTCCGACAAAAAGAAGATATTTCAAGGTTAACCGATGATACAACTTATGTGAAAAGGCGACTTGAAGTTAATGATGTGGCTGGGATTAGACTGTGTAAGAATTTTCAGTCATGTTCAGTTGAGGCAGGAGGTGTAGAGAATTTGACGTTTCTAGAAAAAGATTGTAGGAACTACATTGAAAAAGTGAGAAAGTTACGACTTGGAGTTGGAGATGCTTCCGCAGTACTTGAGTATTTTAGGAAAATGTAAAAGGAGAAGTCAATTTCTGGTACTGATTGATGTAGATGAAGAGAGTCGATTACGAATGGTTATGGGTTGATGCTAGATGTAGGGTGCATATAAAGAATCGGTGATGTTATCACCTTCGACACAAACACTGCGACAAAGTATGACATGCATTTGCTGCTTTTGTGGGAGTTGATCATCATGGACATTCAACGTTGTTAGGTGTGGGTTAATTTCTCATGAGGATACTGAGACATTTGTATGGCTATTTCGTTCTTGGCTTGAATGCATGGATGTCGCTCCTAATGGAATATCACTGTCAAGATAAGGCCATGCAAATGCAATTGAGATTGTTTCCTTGGTACAAGACATAGGTGTGTTTTGTGGCATACAATAAGAAACTGCCTGAAAAGTTAAGGGGGTATAAGGAATATGAAACTATCAAGTTTAAGTTGCAAAATGTTGTGTATGACCTTTATGCGTGAAGAGTTCGAGAGCGGTGGAACCAATTTGTTGATGTGCACAACCTTCACGATAATGCATGGTTATTTGGATTGTACAAAGAAAGAGTACGATGGGTGCCTGCATTTCTAAAGATACTTTCTAGGTAGGTATGTCTACTACCCAACGTAGTGAAAGTATGCATGCATTTTTTGAGGGTATGTCAATTCCAAAACCACTTTGAAACAATTTGTGGAACAATATGATAATGCATTGCGAGCTAAAATGGAAAAAGAAAGGGAGGCTGATTTTAGATCTTTTAAACTTGGATACCATGCATAACTAATTACCCCATTGAGAAACAATTTCAAAGTGCATACACAACTGCAAAGTTTAAAGAGCTTCAAGATGAGATTGCTGGGAAGATTTATTGTGAGTTATCTTTTCTGAAAAAATGTGATTCATGCGAGGAGTTTCAAGTTTGGGAAGATGTTTGATTTGGAGATAATAGTCGCCGTGTTCCTCATGTAGTAACTTTGATGAAAGTTCGTGTAATATTCGTTGTACTTGTCATTTGTTGAGTTCAGGGGGATTTTATACAGACATACCATTATGGTGTTGATTCATAAAAGAGTTTCACACGTTCCGGAAAAGTACATTTACGGCGTTGGAGGAAGAATGTGAACAGATGTCATACGAAAATTAAGGTCAGTTATAATAGGTGGAGCACCAACATTGAAGGACAACGTTTGATAAGTTGTCTAATTTAATGCTGACAGTAGCGGATCTGGCATCAAACAATGAGGAAGATTATAATATGATGCGAAGTTTATGATTGACATGAGGAAACAGTTGGAGCAAAAGGAAAGTGAGGGAGGGGTTGGTACAACAGTGAACATCTCTTCTAGAACCGGTTTGACTAGTCAAGATGGGGACAGTCCTCCTAAAGAGGGGAATACCCTAATCATTAGTCCACGGGCAACTCATAGCAAGGTCGTCCATGTAGAAGAAAGCAGTCGAAGATTGAGAAATTGTACGTGGGTTAAAAGAAAATTACAAAAACAAAGAATTGGTATGATATACATTATTTCAGTAATTTTTTTGAAACATTATTACTTATTTGAAGTTAGAATATATCGACTTGATTATTAATGTGTTATGATACTTTTTAGGAAAAGGATCATCGGTACAGCGACAACAGGACAGTTTCTTTCATGTACTTCCGTGGCCGATGCGGAAAACTCAAGTGTTGTCAAATGATGTTGTTACTACACAAGTATGTGTTATATATCTTGTATAACTGTAATTGCCTTAAGTTTCCAATACCGTGTGCTAAATTATGGTTGTTAAACAATGACAGATTTCCACTGGTCCAGTTCCAAATCTCGCAGGACAAAGTAGTTTCTATATGGATAGGAGTTTGTAAATGATGAACATGTCTCGTGGGAGATGTTTGATATTTTTGCCAAGTTGAAGCATATAGAATTGTATTGGTATAAATTTTTCATGCTTTGGTTAATTTCTACCGAATGCAGTTGAGTTGTATGCTTATACAGTGTTTATTTTTTGTATTTTCGTCATTGATTGTTTGGATAGTGAATTCATGATAATGACGTTAATGTATATGGCATTTTGGATATGCATTTCTTTTCAGATTTGAATTTTTATGTCTTTGGGTATGTCTAGTATTAATATACAATATATTGAAAATAGTTGTAGACATATGTATAACAAAAAGACAAATCTATTTATAAACAAAAGACAGCTTTATTTATAAACAAACTACAATCTTTATTAACAACATCTGCTAAATCAATCTATTAAAAAGGGAAAAAATATTCATCATGGTGCAGGGGGTGGAGGTTGACTAGAGGATGAGGAGACTGTTGAGAAGTTCTTCATCATGTTGAAAATCTCTGTCATGCGGTCTCAATGATGTCAACTGTTTATTCAATTCTTGATGCAAACGTGTTGAAATCACTTTGCAGTTCTTGCATTTGCCTCTCAGTACGTGAAAAACGCTCTTCTTGAAACTTTTCCATCCGCTCAAATCTGCTTTCTTTCCTGTAAAGTATGAGAACCTATATCTTCTACATTCTCAGATGGTCCAGGTTCGGTACCTGTTCTT